CCATGGAGGCTGAGTTTACTCCATCATCGTCAAAGAGACAACCCTCCAAAAAGAGGAAGTCGTCTGCTGGTGTTCCCGGGTCTTTTCGAAAAAGGCTCAAACGACCTTTTTCAAAGAAAGTCATAAAAGGGAAGAAGTCCAAAACTCGTCAAAAGGCTCTCGGATCTCATTCCATTACTGCACAACAAGCTATGGATACTACACACTTTGATGATCTTGCTGAAGTGTTTGAGTACGACATTCTCGCCGACCGAAAATTTGTGATTGAAAAGAAATTCACGAGCAATGAGCATGTGGAGGTTGGTTTTTCCGATTACCTGCGCCGGAAAGGACTGTTTCACTGGGCTGTCAAATTGCGGAAGTACTGTCCAAAATTGGTCAAGGAGTTTTACGCTAACCTTTCTGCTCATGTCTTAGATCAAGACTCTCCCTGGTTTCATAAAGCTTATGTGCGTGGCAAGGTTTTTGAGCTAAGCCCGCGGGTCATCAACAAGCTGTTAAAGCTCCCTCTTGACAATCCTGAAGAGCTTCCCTCTGATCTTCTGAAAGACTCCACGAAAGATGTTGCCCTGTTCCTGTCCTCACGCAAGTCAGTGGACTTTGGTAGAAAAGGACTCAGTGCCTCTGAGCTTTCACTGAGATTTCAATGTCTTTTCCGTCTCTGCTCCAAAAACATTCTTCCAACCAGCAATGGAACCACTATTGGTTCTGAAATGGGTAAACTAATGTATTCCATTGATCGCTTTTGTCCTAACATTAACTTTGGTTTTATTGTGATGTCAAAAATGGTCAAGTTCTCTCGCGGTCAGAAAACGGAAGGCACGAACCTACCGTATCCTGCCTTGATCACGCTGTTATTAAAGAGAAACGGCATTGTTCCGGATTCTGCCGAAGACGTCATCAACCTGGAGGTGTTTCAGCCCAAACCGAATATTCTCAGTCTGCACAACGACATTACTGACGACATCCCCCGAAATGCGACCGAACAGCTTCTTGAAGCCCGCCGAATTCTTCAAGAAGTGGTGCAAGAACAAGCTGCCATCCGCATCACTCTGGGAGAGCATCGTCAGAAAATCATCCGTGCGGTCAACCTCATGCCGAAGATTGGTTCTGTACTTGCTGATGAAGAGGAGGACCCTTCGCTTCTCTGAACTGCTCGTCCATCCCTTTTTGGCATCTGCTCTCGAGGGGGAGAGATGTGCATGAGATGTGCATGGTGTTGGTGTGTTTGCTGCTTTGCTACTGTTTCCTGCTACTGACTATTTCATTTTGTTTGCCAGGCTGCCTGTAGCCTGTGTTTGTTTTCTGCTGGCCTGTAACAAATTGATGACTTACTGCTGTTTTTGTTTGGATTGTTTGGTTTGGTGTGGGAGTGATTCTCCTGCACATTGGGCGAAGTCCCATATGCCAAAAAGGGGGAGAATGTTGGAACAATATTTTTCTCCAACTTTTTTTGGCATATGGTTCTTCTTGCTTTTCTCATGCTGCCTTTTTCTGTTTCCATTCAGGTCATTTCAACAGACTGCCTGCAACTCTGATGGTCTACTCTTCTCGATTTGGGAACCTTAGAAGAGACAAAAAGAATGAATTTTGGGGTGGTCAACCTTTGACAGAATTCATGCAGGATTACATCATTCCACTTTCGTGCAAAGGGTTTTAATTGAGGTTGTCCTGTATGCCTTGTTTGTCTGCTTCTTGGTTTGTTATGTGGGAAGTTTTGTGGTTGTTGCATAGGTTAGAGAGAGAGAACTGTTGTGAGAGAAAGTAAGTTAAATCCTCTCAACCTCAACCCTTCCCTTCTCCATGCATTGAAAGAGTGCTTGTCACATTTACTTGCCGGAGACATCGTCGGAGGAAGAAGAGATTGGAAATCCGATCAGGAGATTCGTCCAAAGTCTGAGCAACCCTGCTATTTGCTAGTTGTCAGTACGAGTTCGTGACAACTTATACCTGTGGAGGGATTTTCCTAGGTGGTTTGCGTTATAGTATGGGATAAAGGAGTTTTGGGCTGTTTAGTTCATAATCAACCTTGATTAGTGAACTTCTCCTGGATTGGAATCCCCCGGATGTAGGTTGGTTATAACCGAACCGGGTTACCAAATATCTTGTCTTTTATTGCTTTGGATTTTGCCCTTATTTCGTTGACAAGATAATGTTACAACTGTGATTTTACCACGCTTCGGGAGTTGGCCCATTTGGAAAAGTGTACAAGAATTTATTGGGGTTGCACTTATTCCATCCCAACAATTTGTCCTAAGTAAATTTAAAATCGAATATTGAAGAGGACAGCGGTGTTACAGCAATCTTGAAAAGGGTATTATTTGTCGTTTTATTTTATGGGTATATATATAATATAATACATATTCGATTATTTTCTATAAAAATTATTTAAACAATAATAAATATTGAAGCATAAATACGTACCAGAACATATTTACTTGTGTGTATCTATTAGAACAAGACAAATTTTGTTCAATTTCATGCATGAAATGATCAATTTCCACTATTTTTATCGTACACACATATATAAATTCACATTTGATTCAAGATTTAATTTTGAGACATTATCTATTTTATAATTGATTATATTGTGTTTCCTAATCCAAAAAAAAATGTTACTGCAAAAAATCCACTATTTCACTACCCCCCCCCCCCAAAAAAAAAAAAAGGATTACTCATAGAAAAATTCCCAACTGATGAATATTTGTATTTGTTCTAAGAATTTATTAGTATTAATTTTTATGTATGTTAAAAAATAAGTAATTTATTATTTAATGAATAATTTTAATTTTGCATGGAAAATTTGGGGAAATGCAAAATTGGTTTTCTATTAATTGCATATTGATGTTAGTAAATAATTAATTGATGAGTCAATAGTGGGGTAATGTACTTGTTATTAACACTGGGATTGTAAAGTGGTTATACCAACCGGACAACTAATTAAGATATTATTGCAAACTTAAACAAGATATGTATTAAAATTCGTTCACCCAATCATTAAATTCATTAGTGGATTGAAATGAAAAAAAGTTGATATAATAGTAATATATTGAATCACTATGGAAAAAGATTAACCCACCAATGAAAGATAATATTGCATAATGCATTCATAAAAAATATTCAATATAATTTAATCATTTTAGTTACAAGTTTGTGTCCATTACAACAATACTCCCACAACTATTATTATTATTATTATTATTATTATTTATTTTTATTTTTATTTATTTAATTAATTGCTGAAATTGCTGGTGGATATGCCTAATGCCCTGCCCGAGAATCTCCTAGTTGGCCTGTCCCTTTCTCCGCCGTTATTATTATTTATTTATTTATTTATTTTAATGTGGGGCCTACGTGGAGAGGAATACAGGAGGGCCATCCTACTTGTCACTCCATGAGTAGGATTGCGTATGCGTCTCCACAAAGTAATTTTTTTAAATATAAAGAAAAAATCAAAATACTTGTGTTTTATGGTTTTGAAAGGTTTTCAATTTAAGATTCTAACTGAAAATATATTTTTTACCAAATATTTATATATAAACTACCTATAAAAACATGATCGTAATCATTGCGTAAAATATAGATGTATTGAAAATATAGTTATGAACATGATTTAAAATATGGTTGTGTTGATAATAAAATCATAAACATAGATATAAACAGAGTTGTATTCAGAACACGGACTGTGTTCATAAGTATGGGGTAATCAACACGGCCGTGTTAGCTGTCTTGGAGGCCCAATCACCAGAAGTTATCCAACATGGTCGTGTTCAGTCCTAGTCAATTATCTTGGGACAAAAATTGATAAATTTTTATTTGAGTGAGACCAAATTTGATAAATTCTTTTGAATAAGACTAAAATTGACAATTACAAGTGATTTTTGCTCTATATTTTTACTTATCAATAAAATACTGTTATTTTTTTTAATCTACTATAATATTCACAAATATCATTTTTTTTTTTTTAATCTACTGTAATATTCACAAAAATTCTTTGAAGTGGAACAAATATATTTTCAAAGGGTAAAAATGTCAATTATACATTATCATAACAATAGAAAAAATGTACAAAACAGTAACAAGGTGTCTAAATGCATAGTGTTTTTCAAATATTTGCCTCTAATTAGAGTAAATAGTATTTTTATTTAAAAAAAAAAAGAAAGAAAATATTAATTAAACCTATTATGAAATAAAGTATGTATTTGATATAATATTTCAAAAAAAAGTATATATTATTGATGAATAAGATCAAAATATTTAAAAATATATAAAAAGTCTTAACTATTGAGTTCATCATCATTAATTAACTGATTTTATTTTATCAAAATAATGATAATTAGCATAGAGAGAACAAAGATATCATTTTGGTTTAAGTTTTTAGTATTCCTAATAAAAGCTTTTATATCCAACTTCCATTAAAGTTACCTAATTTCTTTCAATGAAGTATTTATTTGCACATGCTGATTGTAAGTCTATAAATTTTTTACAGCGTTTCAATTTAGAAATTAGAATTTTGTATAATATGTTTTTTTTTTTTTTTTTAAATTTTCATTCTTTGCAATTTTTAATTATTAAATTATGCATGTCATACCAAAACCAACCTAACTCATAAAAATAAAAGAAGCCAAAAGGAGACAGGATAGATAAAGATGGGTTTTTTAATAAATTAATGTTTGAAGGCAGAACAGATTCTTGAACAATAAATCTTTTCTGTGGAAAAGGGATTTAAGTTATTTACTACTTTATATATACTTAGCTTCTTCACATTGCTCATTTCGCAATATTATTTTACAATACAGATTATTTGAAATCAAAATTAATTAAAGGGCAGTCATTGTAATGAATCAAAGTTTAATATTAATGATAATGGTGTGTTTTTTTACAACTTTTTTTTTTTTTTTTTTTTCTAATTCTTAACTATATAATTGATTTTAGGAACTGCAAACTAAACAAGGCGAATCAAATAAAAAAACAACCAAGGCAATCAAACTTCAATTTATTTATTTTTAAAATTTTTATTTAAGATTTTCTTAGACCGTACATACTTTTATTTCATGCCATTACACCTCAATTATTTCCACAAGTGATGCAAGAAAAGATCTTTCCCGCCAACGATTTAGAGCGACGTTTCGGCGGCGGCTTGGCGGCGCAGACAATATACGATTCATCGGCTCCATTCCGCCGCGCATCGTCGCAGTCATCCAGAAACTTCCGGAAGGCACTACCCACGTATTCAGCTGCCTCAACCACTTTCATGCCTTCCGCTGCCTTCCCAGCTGGGAACACGCCCGTGTTCGCATCCTCGCCTCTCAACACGGCACACAGCTGCACCAGCTCTCCCTGGAATTCCGACAGCTTCGCCTCCTCGTCCGCCGCAGCTTCCCTCGTCTTCACCGGCTCCGGCAGACTCACTGCACCAACCATTCTAACTAACACTCATTCATATACATACATATTCGAAATTTCCAAACCAACCAACAATAATGTAACTAATTAATTGATTACCTGGACAGTCTGTACGAGGAGCTGTTCTGTTTAGGACACACTCAAACGTGCCTGCCCAAGCATCCCTCTTCGTCAAGAAGCTTTTAAGGTTGAAAAGCTTCTTCACCGTCGCCGGAATCGACGAGTGCTCGAACTCTGATGTCGGGTAAGGTCCCGACGGCCCGTGCAGCACTGCATCAACCGTTGTTAAGACATTTTATATGCTCTATGTATTCATTAATTTGATGTTGCTAGTACACTAAATGAATATATCATTCTAATATTAATATAGTGTCGACAACACCTCAAATATAGATATTGAAATATAAATCAACAATAAAAATTTGTGTAAATATATACCGATAGCGCTATCGTCGCATATGTTGGAGCACATATAATATGTTCATATAGCATACTCCTAAAGTACGAATTGTTGGTACTTAATTTCAATTCACTTAGACATGTCTTGTAAATTGAAATTACATAGAATCCTTTGGATGCAAATCTATATTATATTGATTCGAACAAATCAGTATAGTACTGATTTCACCAGGTCAACATATATTATATGACTGACTAACATATGATGAAACACGTATAAATATACGCTGATCACCCTTATAACATATGTTGATTCAGTCAAATCAGCACCACACTGACTTGATCAGATCAACAGATGATATTCATATGCGCTGATTATGGTGATCAACATTGTCTTGATCTGTACACAAATCGTTATACAAAATTTAGTACAATTGATGTTTGTTAGTTATTGTGTACCTGTTCCGGGTTCGATCCAGGGAGACACCAATATGGCGGGGACTCTGACTCCGAGCCGATCAAACTTGAACTTATGCGGCTCGGGCCCAACGATGTCGTCAGGGCTCGGGACTCCAGCAACCGGCGTCGGGACATGATCATAGAATCCACCGTGCTCGTCGTATATAATCACAAACAAGATTTCGTTCCACTGCGGGCTCGACCTCAGCGCCTCGTAGACTTCCTTGACAAATCTTTGGCCTTCGGAGATGTCGTGGGGCGGATGATCATCGTTTCCGGGCACCAATTTTGTCTCGAAATAACGTTGTTCTATTACCACATAGTTTGGCAGCTTCCCCTCCTTGCAGTGCCTCTTGAAACTCAGCTCAAACTGATGAAAGTTTCTTACGTACTTCAATTTTCTCAAGTTCCTATTGTAGAAACAGGAATACTTTATAATTGCTATCCATGACTTTTAATTGTCGCGGAATTTAAACGATGTAAGAATTAATGTTAACCTGTAAAAGAGGGTGGAAGGAGGATACTGATAATAAACCCCAAAGGAGAAGCCACTCTCCTCCATGGACTCAAAGATTGTCTTCTGAGGGTAACCTTGGACGAGCATTTTCGTGTCGTTGGCCGTGGCGCCGTAGGCCGTGGCGGAGTGTATGAACAGCCGATTCGGCTGCGTCAAAGTGGGCGCCGAGGAGAACCAGCGATCACAGACAGCGAACTCCGAAACCAGCTGTCTGAACACGGGCACAGATTCGGGGGTGAACCCGTTCATGACTACTTCAGCCATGCCTTCTTGGATGGTTTCCGCCTGCCGAGCAAAGCCTTCCATTGTGGGCGCCGGATTGGGCGGGGCGTCGTTGAATGTGACGCCGAAGACCTGCTCAAACGTGGCCTCGAATGAGTGGCCGGGGTCGGAGACAACATTGGAAGCGCGGTGGCCAAAGTGGATGCGATCGGATGCCGACAGAGGATTGGATTCTTCCCCTGTCACGCCGTCTATTTCGGCGTTGAGGGACTTCATCCATCCTAGGATGTGATCGAAGGATCTGTTTTCTTGGACTAGGACTACTACTGTCTTGATCGGATACTCATCTGTGGTGTTTTCAGACATGGTTTCTTGATCAGCTTTTGCAATGGTTTAGTGATCAATGAAGCTGCAAGAGTAAAAAAACAGGGGTAGGGGTAGGGGTAGTTGGAAAGTAGTAAGAACTTAACAACTCAAATTGCAATTTGTGTTCTCTTTGGACTTTTCTGTGGACAGAACAATGAACTGTAGAAACCTACTACATTATGGACTAAAAAAATACCAACTTGATCAAGAACACAACAGCATATATATTGTTTTCTACAGATAATCAAATTCCATTTCCTGCATCAAATCTCCAAGAATCGCAATTCACAATACTGTCTGTATATTCCAATCCTACACTGAATTTCAAGTATGTCACAACGCGACGCCGCTCGGCGCAAAACTCCGGCGCGCCCGCCGGGATTCAAATCAAAATGACGTAGGTAACTATTCTGGATTTAATTGCCATTAGCGCCGAACAAGAATCCCCCGCCGGGGCTAAACTTCTTGGTTGCCACGGGGCATCTAAGCAAGTCCCCGTCCCGGCTCCGGTTCCCACTAGATGATCCCGTGCCTCTCCAAAGATGATCGCTCTCGGCTTTCATGTACTCCTCAATGTCCTCGAACTTAAGTATATCCGATATCAGGAGCTGCCGCGCCGGCGGTGGCGAGGCTATCGATCTTCCGGCGTGCTCGGGATTCCCTCGATCAATTTCCGCATCTTCCAAACCCTCCTCGACAACAACTGCGTGCTCGTCGGAGGTTCTTTCTTGATCATCATCGACCACCACTGTCAGGTCATCCGGCCTCTCGTAGGCGCTCATGCTGACGACCGGCGCCGCCGCAGGCGGCGGCGAACTGAAAGCTGCGACGGCCGCGCGGCACATGGGGCAATTGGACTGCGATTTGAGCCACGTGTCGATGCAAGGGAGGTGGAAGGCGTGGCTGCATTTAGGCATAAGCCTGAGGGATTCGTCTTCTTGAAATTCACAGAGACACACAGCACACTCTGTTCCTTCAATTAGGCCGTCGCCCTTTTGGTATTTGCAGACCGTTATTTTCTTAATCAACGCCTCATCCAATCCGGGTGGCGCCGCCGCCGGATTGCCCCACTGATCCAGGCCGGCCTCGTCGTGGCTGAGGCCGGCGGCCTCCGCGCCTCCGCCGGGAAGGTCAGTACCGGCAGCCGCCGCCCTATCGGTGGCGTACCTCGTGGCGAAGGTGTAGTAGCTCGCGAGGACGAAGGCGCAGATTAGCACGACGATGACGGCGATGATGAGCGGCGAGAAAGGGGGTCCGTCGCCGTCGTCGGAGGGCGGCGGCGGGGGGAAGATTAGGTAGCAGTATTGGGGGCAGTATATGCTGCAAATCCCCTGGGAGCAATCCCGGTAGTTGTCGTACGAGGAGAAGGGGTTCTGGTTCCCGACAGAGCCCATCAATGGCGGATATGATCGATGTCCGATCGACGGTCAGATCTGCAATAAAAGAGGAGAGAGTGTATTGTCGGCATTCATTTGTTGGGAATTGAATTGAAATATGAAATCTGAGCTTAGAAGGGAAGGAAACTAAAGTGGACAGAAACCCTAATTTTGCAAGAATCAATTTCTACGAGAGATGGGTTCAAAGTGTTATTAGAAATCCATATATCTGATATAAGTAAGGATATGATTGTAGATCGAATGTATGGTCGTCAGTACTGCTCCTCATCTACTTGTTGTCTCTTTCGATAGGTAAAAGGAGAGTGATTCTTGGGAGGTCCCGGATCTCAAGAATTCATCATCTTCCATCATTGGATCTCTGACACACAGGTGGATTTTGGACCCCATTGCTGGATTTTTTGCAATTCTTTTTTAAAGGGTTGTTTTTGCTTTCAACATATGTGGACGACTCGCCTCTTTGACAGAATATATATGAATAAAAATCTGTCTATATGAGTATATATTATATGTATAGCTTTAGGTAATAAGATTAGTTTTATTATTATTATTACATGACATGTTTTTGTTTCCAAGTCAGTTTGTTGAGAGAGATAGAGAGAGAAGAGAGTAAAGTAAAGTAGAAGAGAGACTTGTGGTTTACTAAAAGTGGTGTGGTGGAGGAGAGAACCACAATATGCCCTAAGTTACCCTTAGGGGATGTCTCTCACCTTTCTAAAAAGAAGGGATATTTTGCTTTTCACAAAAAATTTGTATCCGTTGAATGAATTGGATTTTTATTTTTTATAAAAAAAATATAAATAATTCATAAAAATATATATATATATATATATATTGCTAGTTTCATTTGTCTAAATACAAAATATACATTTTTAATAAGCATAATCTCACTATATATTATAAAAATATGTTAAATTTACATTAATACAATTATATCAAATTAAAATAAATAAAAAGTTTTATAGCTTAGATTCTAAATTGGACGAAATAAAATTGAATCTATACTTTAATGTTTAATATATAAATTGAATATAATATTTCTTAAAAAAAAATAATAACAATATATTATAATTTAAATAATAAAAATACAAACAAACAACGAGGGTTAGTCATATAAAAGTCTCAATAATCATGATTAAGGCATCATTAGAGTGTCTCGGGACTTTCTCCCGAGGTAATTATAATATGGGTAGTTTGTTCAGTGTAGCTCAACAAAAGTGACTTACCAATGTTTATTTTAATTCAGCTTAAAAATAAAAAATAAAAATGTCAACTTTAACATTTTTATCTGGATTCAACTTTAAGTATTATTATTATGCAATTGAAATTAAGATTTAGACTATAGCAAAGGGTTTTAAATTGTTCTAAACACAAATGGGATTTTACTATAAATCAAATCATTTAGATTAATTAAAACAATACATGTATAATCGAATAAATATTTTTAAATATATTTACTTTTAATATGGCAAACTATATAGTAAATAAATTTCATATAAAAATATTATCGTCAAATATATCTTTTATTTTACTTTTATTTGAATAATACTACTATCAATTAAAAATATATTTTTTATTATAGATATTATTATCCAAAAGGTGTAACAGCCACCGTCTCCGCCGTACTGTCGAACCAGTTTTCAGTCCACCATCACTTCGCCACATCGGGAATCGCCGCCGCTTTCAGCTCATCCTTTTGTGGCCGATCACGTTCGATACAAGTAATCCGTGGAAGATTTCGTGCGATGTTACTCCAATCTCCGTTCCAACAATTATAGCACAAGTAGCGTCATTACCCGGCGGAATAGCCTTTCATCCTCCGCGTCAGTAGGAAGAATCAATTGATTCAGGTATCAATGGAAGTTATTTATCATCATTTTCTGTTCAATTTCTAGTTATTCTAGTGCAGATTGAAATTTCAGGGACGTGAAATAAATGTTGTTAATAGATTGCCACTGAACGGAACATGTTCGATGAAATGCCGCTTTGAATTTGGTGTGATTTTTTCTGTAGTTTATGCTAACCAAACTCGAGCTCAGCTCATATGGATTTTATTCTAATGGTTACTTTTCGTTCATGGTGATTGAAGGTGCTGGATTGAACGTCCTTGTGAATGTGGATCGATTTGCAATTCTAAGAAGAAACTCAAGCCGTGAATTGTGTCTGCAGTTTTTATCAGCTTGCTAATTCTGAAATGTGATGATGTCTTCGGTTTCTCCATTTTTGTTGCAACCTATGCGTTTTTCTGCGGACACGAAGCAAATCCAAAGTCCACAACCTGAGAAACTTGCCTTGATTATAGATAAAAGTAGAAGCATCAAACAGCTTAGCAAAATCCATGGATTCCTTATCCGCCATGGCCTCGAAAGTCACCCTATCTTGAACTTCAAGCTTCAGCGATCGTACTCGTCTCTAGGATATATTAAACATTCGGTCGCGCTCTTTAATGGTACGCCGGATCCGAATGTTTACTTCTACACTGCTCTGATCCAAGGCCATGTCATTAATGGTCTCTATAAACAAGCTCTTCATTTTTATGTGCAAATGCTAGTTGAAGGCATTGAGCCTAATGCCTTTACAATGTCGACAATCCTCAAAGCGTGCACATCGGAAGCTCTGAGAGCCCTCCATGGCCATGCTCATAAGTTTGGTTTTGAGTCGGATGTTTATGTCAGAACTGTTCTTGTCGATCTTTATGCAAAAGGCAGGGATCTTGTTTCTGCTCGTAAGCTTTTTGACACGATGCTTGAGAAAAGTCTGGTTCTGTATACAGCAATGGTTACAGGGTATGTAAAGAATGGGGATGTTGATGAGGCGAGAGTGTTGTTCGATGGAATGAAGGACCGGGACGTGGTGAGTTGGAATGTGATTATCGATGGGTATGCTCAACACGGAAGACCGAATGAGGCCTTGATTCTCTTCAGGCAGATGTTGAAGGCTGGCCAGAAGCCGAGCGAAGCAACTATGGTGGCAGTTCTTTCGGCTTGTGGTCAGTTGGGAGCGCTGGAATCGGGCCAGTGGATCCATTCTTACCTCGGGTATAACTCATCGTCTACTGCTCGGGTGGGTACTGCTCTGATCGATATGTACAGCAAATGTGGAAGTTTAGACGATGCAAGGAAGGTGTTCGACGCGATCAAATCCAAGGATGTTGTTGCTTACAATGCAATGATCGGGGGATATGCAGTTCATGGGTTCAGCCGAGATGCTTTGAACCTGTTCGAGGAGATGATTGAGGTCGGTCTTGACCCTACCGACATAACCTTCATTAGCATTCTAAGCGCTTGTGCACACGCGGGATTGGTATCTGAAGGCCGGGAGCTTTTCAACGCAATGAAGGATGTTTACGGTGTTGAGCCAAAGGTTGAGCATTATTCGTGCATGGTGAATCTTCTAGGTCGAGCCGGGCATCTAGAAGAAGCTTATGAGCTTGTTTGGGGCCGGAGCTTCGATTCGGATCCTGTTATGTGGGGAACATTGCTTGCTGCATGTAGGCTTCACCGAAACGTAGCTTTAGGAGAGAAAATTGTCGACTTCCTTCATGATCGTGGCCTTGCGAATTCGGGAACTTATGTTCTTCTCTCTAATATGTACGCGACGGCCGGTAATTGGAGTGGCGTCGCAAGAATGAGGGCTATGATGAAGCAAAGCGGAGTCCCAAAGGAACCTGGGTGTAGCTCGATCGAAGTGAATAATAGAGTGCATGAATTTCGAGCTGGCGAAATGAAGCATCCTAATATGGAAGAAATTTACGAGATGCTCGAGCAAATGAATCGGTGGCTCAAGGCTTACGGGTACGTGTCGCAGACTGAGGCAGCTCTACACGACATCGAGGACGCTGAGAAAGAGCGATCGCTTGAGGTTCATAGTGAAAAGCTTGCACTCGCATTCGGGCTTGTTAGCACGAAACCGGGGACAACGATCAAGATTGTCAAGAACCTTCGAGTTTGCCCGGATTGTCATGCTGTCATTAAACTTATGTCTAAGATTACGCGACGGAAGATTATAATGAGAGACCGCAACCGGTTTCACCATTGCGCCAATGGGTCATGTTCTTGCGGTGATTATTGGTGAGTGTATACACGTTTAATTTTGGAGTTTCGATGGAATCAGGTGCGTTAGGCTCCCAATGATTTTGCTAAAAAATTGATTCTTGATTCATATAATGTTTTAAGGTTCTTGTAGCTCCTATCATCGTTTATAGGAACTAATTCAACATATTAACATGAAGACACTTCTTCGTCGCTGCCGTAGCCGCCGCCGGCGATCTCAGAAGTCGACGAAATACTACTGTCGAGGCTGTACTCTGGATCAATAGGTTGCAGCAAAGACACCATGTGAGTAACCTGTTCCCCGGCCTCGACCAAATCGAGTTCATAGATGATCGCCGGATAATCCTCGAACATCGATTCATCTGCTTGAATAAGCTTCAAAATCCGCCTCCGGAGAGGCTTATCCACCACCAATCCCCGGAGCAACCTCCGGAAGCCTCCCACTATATCGGTGAATCTCTGCGGCGCGGAGGCGCGCAGCATCGACCCACATTCAATGCAAAATCCGGCGGCAGCGGCAGTGTTGTCCATGGGATACACAGTCAATAAATACATCAGGACATCCCACGCCAATGCGGCGTGAACCACCGCCTGATTTGCTAAATGCGCCACCAGCGCGGCGGCGGTTTCCGTCCGGTCCCTGTCGCGGCTGTCGCAAGCCTCCCTGAACCGGACGGCGGCTCTCTTCGCCACCAGATAGCCGACGTCGGGAAATCGGGGATTGATCGCCGCCACAAGGGCGGCGTAGACGTTGGTGGATTGGGGAAACTGCATCTGAGATCTCATAACCGCTTCGCAGAAGTGCGATCTTCCTTCGATCGGATTCAGTTCGGCCATTCGATCAGCCACCGACTGCACGTTCATAACCGTCAGTTCTTCTAGAAGAGCCTGGAATCTTCGCCGGACGGAACGTTTCTGAATTCCGATCCGCTGCTCGCCGTCAAATGTGATTTCCGACGACGAATCCATCGCTCGCGTTCCTAAGCAGGCTACAGCTATTCCCTGGATTATTCTCTACAGGAAAAACAACAATGGTGAGTATGAGGAATGGGCCAATGGCTGCGGAATCATGGAAAAGAGGTTTTAGGGTTTATATATATATTATATGTACACATATTTATATATTTTCTTTTATAAATTTATTGACAGATTCAATTAGATCTGATAGTTTGATTACAGTCTTTCCCTTTGGGGCATAAATTTGGGAAGATCGTTTTGATTGGGGAGCAAGAATCGCGTCGCCTGGTGATGATGATGGGGTAATCCAAACCGTTCATTTTTTATGCGGGGTCCACTTAAATTAACGGTGCCGATTAGTCATCCAAATTCAACCGCGAAACACTGTGTGGGCCTTATTGGGCCTGTATGGAGGATTATTGGGCTTAATAGATATATGATTTGGACCTTTTGAGATTTTGTAGGTCTAAATGTCAGCCCAATCGTTTCGAAAAAAAACGTACACTAAAGTTTTTCTTTTTTTTTGAATGCCAAATTTGTGTATATATACACATACAATAAATAACTAGAATACATTATTGTGTTCACTTGGATTTTTATTTTTATTCTTTTTACTATACAATTCTTGTAAAAACATTATATATATTATTATTTAAATAAAAAAAATAAAAAAAAAAAAAAAAAAACAAATTTCCTAGTAAGCACACTCTATCTGTAGTGACATATAATACCTGAAAGTTAATAAATATATATTCTTGTCATGACAAAATAATAATTCTTCCAAATAATAATAACAATATATATGTCACTGTATGTGTATATATGTGAAAACATATTTTGTCAAAATCACAAGTAGAGACAATGATGTGTTCCTTTATAGCAATAAAAGTTAGACTAGAAGAAACGACACTTGGGCCCAATGTGTTTCTTTCAATTTAAATATTATTTTAATGTAAAATTGTTTAGATTGTATTTGAGTTTGAATTTTTTTTTTTTTTTTTATTTGAATTTTAATTTAAATATTATTTTAATATAAAATTTTGATTAAAAATAAAATAAAATTAAATTAAATTAAACCGTGTCAATTGTATAGTAAAAATACTAAAAGAAAAAAGAACATGCTTTTATGTCGGTTTGTTAATTAATTGCCCAATCGAATGTTTGAGACTTGTATATCAATTTAAAGAATATAAGGTTACATAATGTCCTAATGTGTAATGCATATAATATAACAGAAAGTGTAATAAAATATCCAAGAAGGCATATATATATATATATCTATGTATATGTATACTATCATTTGTTGAATAAATTATTAATTAAATTATACATATAATGCTGAAATCCATGATATTTCAACCACACAAATATCCCACGTTAATTTAATTATTTTTTTTTCATTTAAATATAAAAAAAGAAAGATTTGAAAGATATTCAAAATACTTCTTAAGCAAAATGATATACATGTGAATCTTGAGCCCTTTTATTCTTTTTATTTATTTGTTATTTTAAATGGAATTTAATTTGTGCAAGGCAATGAAATCTCAACCTCACGTTTCAGGTTTGCCCAAAAATGCCTTTTCCAATAATTTATTATAATGTCACCAAGAAATTCTTCATATATATATTTAGTGGATGGGGTGTAGCAACAAATTGGAATAATATTTAATTAATATATAGGTAAATGAAATAATTTTGATGTCGCAGCCAGCTGTCTGAGAATTATTATTTAATTTGCAATTACAAGACAAAACCTTAAAATCACCACAAAAAGTTGGCTAATCAACATCTCGAAGGCCCATCATACACTTACCTTTCAAATAAATCAATCAATAAATATAAGTAAAGAATTTTAAGTAATTTTCTATAAGAATTTGATTTTAGTTTTTTCTACCCTGGAATCCTTATATTTCTTTATAAAAATACATTAAATTTTGTAAAATACTAAATTCAAATTACTAATTAAATAAAATTAAAAATTAAAAAATAACACACACAAAATAAAAATTTTAAATTATGTTTCAAAAGAACACACACCTACATAAATAAGATAATGTTCCACTGCTACAAAATTAGGTTCGATTTTAAAAATTAATAGTTACAACTTGTCACATTAGAAAAAAATAAAATAAAATATATTATTATATTGCTACAAAATTTATGTCACAATCTATGTGAAATTGCTTCGAGCTATATGTATGAATATATGAAAAATGATGAGGACTTTTCAATGATTTTCTTGAACTTTGTCCGTAACTTTTTGCTATTATTTGAAAACTTATCATATCAATGTTGTGCTAAAAATTGTTTAATTATTGAACTACTATTAAGACAATCTTTGTCTTTAAGAAATATTTTGTCACACAAATTGTTTTAAGTATTTTATTCCGAAAAAATTTCCGAGATGAATTGAAAATTTTATAGTTGAAATTTTTATCCATCAATTATATATATATATATATAATTTAATATCTAAATTATGATAATATTAGAATTCAAACTATTATATTAACAAAAATTCCCAATATATGCATAATTTTAAATTGTGTTTTTTAAGGTATTTGCAGACACTTACTTAACAATGCCTCATTTGGCTTAACTTTAAATAATTAATTAATTAATTTTATGCAATGGGCAAAAGTTGGCCAAGAAGAAATAATTTTTTTATTTAATTATATGTAAAATAGTTGTTTGGTTTAGTTTATGGTGGGGACCACCGGACCTTAAGCCATTGATTAGCAGAAATTAATAACTTTATTTGCGTCCGTATACGCATTCTGATTGGCCAATGCTGACTTTAATTTCATTTGTTTGAGATTATCGAAAAATAATCTTAATTAATTCAATCATCACCTTATTTTAATCGCACTATACGACAAAAGCTTAGCCGCGCCTGTAAAAGACACTCAATAATAATAATAATAATAATAATAATAATAATAATAATAATGTACGTTTGATTGTGTTTTGAAATTGATTCGAAATATAATTTTAATTTAAAATTTTGTTTAAATATTTATTAAAGAATTGATTAAATAGAGGTAATGAAAATACTAGTGAATAAAAGTATTTATTTTACATAAACTAAGCATAAATTTCACTTACAATAGTTAGATTCTCTTCCTCAATCCCAAGTAATTTGTCCTTATTTTCTATTTTCGTGCATTCCATATAATTTATCAATTTCGTTTTTGGAAATAATTATATACTTTAATCTCATTTTAAATTTTAATTAAACTATTTAGTTATCTTAATCTTAATCCACAATTATTTTTATTATACAATAATTATTTTTACTAATATACTTCTTAATTACTTACTAATTATATTTTACCTAAATTTTCGTATCTACAGTAATACGTCCATAATAAATGGGACGGAGGGAGTATAATATTTTAAAATAAAATATATATTTAATTTAATATTTTCTTTAAAAAAATAATGAATAAATTTAGAAACATAAGTAAATGGACGCAATTGTGAGGCTTGAAAGTCACATGAATCACGAAATTCTACATTTACCAAGGGGATTATTAATTTTGCTTCATTTTAGAACCAATTAATTATTAAGCAACACGAAAGTTTCCAAAATTTTATGAATATATTATTTTTAAATTAAAATATGTCTAAAGTTTCAAAATATGAATCAATCATGATCAGGTTACGAGCCCCACGCATCAACCACCTTTTACACCTTTTCTATTTATTTAGAATTCAATTTTAATTTTTTTTATTAATTAATTATTACTCTCTTCGTTCATAAAATAAAATATGGTTAAGTAATTTATTTATTTATTTTTTTTTTATGAACAGAAAGAGTATATTATCTTTTATAAAATTAAATAAAGTTTTCACAAAATATTAAATTCAAGGAAATATTTCAATTCATTCTAAAATCAAAATACGAAGCAAGAGATATGTATAAATTTGTAAGCAAGAAAAAAAGTGTGTTTGCTTTGAATATAATATAAACTTTTTTGATCAATAATAAAATTATTTTAAAAAAAATTATACTAAAAGACCAAAACCTATGTTTATATATTCATTAAAAATGCATATTAATTTTGTGATTTTAATGCAGTGGTGTAGAGATATTTTAAGATTGTGTGATGTTGATGTCTGATGTGGACAGGATCTGATATGATATTATGATGTGATGTGATGGACGGACATGATTGCCTCTCTGGTCACTACTACTATATATCTCCTTTATACTGCTTCCCGTAATCTTATTTATTATTTTTATTTATTTTAAAATAATAGTTTTATTTTTATAAATATTTATATAATAAAAATTACTGTTTTTACTATTAATACATTAATAAAAGCAAAGAAATTTTTATTTATATTTTTTATCAATTATCAATATAATATCAATATTGTTTAAATTTTGTGCGCAGTATATTACCCAATCAAATTATAATAATTTTTTTAAAAATAATTGTTTTATTTATCTAACATTATAAATATTTTTTTAATTTACAATATATTATACAAATATAATTACATTTATATCATACAATATAATTTAATTTTTTATCTTTATTTTTATTATAATTTAATATAATATTAATATTTTTAAAATTTTGTATTAAAAATAAATAAATATATAAATACGAGAGGGAAAAAATATATATATATATATATAAAAGTAAATTACGTTAATGGTTTATGTATAAATATTTATTTATTTATTTTGAATGTATTTGATTAAAATATAAAAAGTAAATGATAGTAATAAATTAAGGATATGATTATTAATTAATTGGGGCATTCAGAGCAACAGACAGAGTGACTGACTGACTGACTGACTGAGAGTGAGTGCAGTGTGGCTGCAGCCTGCATACTCCCCCGGAATTTGTGGGGGTGGACCATCTACACATTAATAATCATTTCACTTTTTCATTCTTCTTTATTTTTAATTACTTTTACGATTTTTTCAAAATAAAAATTATTATACTATAACATAACATTTCAAATTAAAATTATTTTTATAGAAAAAAATAGTTACAATAGTTACTACAGGCCACACATGTGTACATTTATTACTCCATTGGTTATGCAAATGTGTGATCATTTGACTGAGCACGAATTTTAATAAAAATGAGTAATAATTGTTATTTTTTTATAGTAAAAAAAATTACAAAAATATAATAATATTTTATTTTTAAAAAAAAGAATAATTTTTAATCACAATCTAA